CTTAGAGAAACACCTGGGGTTACAGTACGGAGGAAATCCGATCCTGACCAGTATCTTCTCTGGGCTGCAAATGGGTGCTTTGGGCCACATCATGCTGACCAACCACAAGACAAAACAGGAGGAGTCCTCTAAGTCCCATTCAGGGGCAGAAAAGACAACTTCCTCTTCTCCCCTGATCATGGCTGCACTGTTGTCATGGTGATTCTTGATGCCAAGGAAACAGAGCACATGGCGTCAAATGTAACTGGGTGGCCTGCCTGAAAAAACAAGACCTCCTCCATTCCAGAGACATGAAGAGGGCACAAAGATTAGAGACAAGCCAAGAGATTTTTTTGGAAGGAAGCAGAGGACAGCTGAGCTTGAGAGATCAGAGAGGGAGAACTATTATCTGGTTATTAAGAGATCAGAGGATATGGCCTATCATGGCTTGGCTTAGCCATTCCCTCCCACAAAGCTATTAGGGTGGTCACTTTCCTAATAGCATCCTTCTGGGTGATTAATGAGTCCTTCAAGAGGGGGAAAACCATTCACTCACTGACCAAGCTTAGGGCTTTCCAGGACTTAGGCATCCCCAGGGATTTCTGTAGGAAATGCCAGGTTCCTGAGAGAAAGAATCCCTTCGCTGAGAGCACACCCCCAAGTTATGCTGTTTCTGCTGCCAGGAAGGACTCTCATCATCCCACTCCAGCCCTGTCTTGCTCAGGAAACAGGAGGTCCTTGATCACCTATTACAACAATGTATTCAGAGCATACATTTGTGGGGGATAACAACGGAGCAGGGAAAGTTCCATGGAGGCAGCAGCTCACGATGTACACTGAGGCATAACAGAAGGAACTTATACATAGTCACTTTATGAGCATCTTCTCCCTGGCTTGGGCTAGTGAGGGATTCTTGTTCACTGTATTATAATACTAGCTCTACACATCTTCCCATGACTGGGTCTGAAGGAGTCTCTTGAAGGATGTGTTGTGGTTAAGGGTATAGACTCCTGAGCCAGGCAGCCCACCTTCCAGTCCTGGCTCAATTACTTATGTGCTGAGTGACCATGGCCATGTTACTTAACCCTTAGATTCCTGATCCATAAAATGGGCCTTTCAATATCTTCCCCTACACATTACTGTAAAGATAAACTGAGATGCTGCATATGAAACTGTTTAGTACAGGTCCTGGAGCCTACCAATGATGCAATAAATGTTAGCAGCCATGATTAGGAGCAGTAGTAAGTAGTTCATGGGAAACAGCTGGTGAGGGAAAGTGAGTTATATGGAGTGAAGTTTTGTTCAGTGCTCTGTAATTGGCATGTTGCTTGGCAAACTCTGAGAGCCTCAAATGGTTTTGTCTGCCTTCCAAGAAAATTGAACAACAGGTGTCTGGGTTGTCTTAACTTATTCCAGCCTGGAGACAGTCTGGTTTGGTTTAAAACCTCCTGCAGCAGGTTTAAAAGCTTCCACCTCAAATGGCCACCCTCCCTGCTTGAGTGACTTTCCCATGCATGTCCTATAATCCGTGAGTGCTAAATGAAGACTTAATTCCCAGGGGAAGCTGTAAGACATAGCTTGCAGCTGTCCATTGCAGGAGCCCTAGTGACGTGTTGACCGCTATTCCTGCTTTGGGAAAGGTGGGCTCTGAGCTACAAGGTAGGGATCAGAGAGGAGGTTCCTGGCTGCCCTGGAGATGGTCACCACCTCCACAGATGTCTCAGTAGCTCAGGAGCCTGGGTGGGGAGGGTGATGGAGGGAATGAGAAGGGTTTCTCACCTTGGGTTTTCAGATGCCTCCATCTGGGATATCTCAGTTCCAAACACATATTCTATTGTCCAAATGGGTGCTCAGCTCACTTCCTGACAACCTGTTTTAAGGTTGCTGACAGACTCTCTTGCATTCCCAAAGACAGGAAGTGTTGCTAGTAACAAAAAGCGAAAGTGTGTTTCTACAATGAGTGGCTCAAGGAACTGAACCTGTTCGGTATTGATTACAGGGAGATACTAGCTATTTTCAAACATGTGAAGGCAATAGCAGACCTGTCTGAGTTTCCCAGGAGCTAGGATGGATGTGTAGTATAAGAAAGAGCTCTCTAGCTTCTAACTGTGCAGTAAGGATTTATCACAGAAACCATCTGTGAATGAGTGACGAGTGACAGGAGGTGTTTGGTAGGGGGTGGAGGGTGGAAGTTCCTCCATCAGTTTGGTGAAGGGTGTGCTTGGAGTCCTGAGGTTCCTTTGAACTATAAGATCTTGGAACTGGAACTAAAGGAGGTAGCCCTTATGCGGCTCCAGGAGACAGGGTGTTATATTTAGGGGCATCCCCTGGGATCACTAAGGTGTGTCTTTGCAGATTCATTTGCTGTAGTGTCTGCGAAATTCTGGGGTGTCCTGTTGTGAGTGTTAGTCAGCCCAGAGGAAGGTGCCATGAGCGTTTCTGCCATATGGGGGTGGGCTGGATACATGAAGGGCGGGATGGCCAACTGCAATGTACTCATTTTGTAGCACTGCCACAAGTACCAGAAAGGAGATATCCAGGACCATACATGGGGCAGAGACAGCTGTGCTTTGTGATGGGCCGAGCATCTGACAGATGGAAAAGGAAGAAAAAACCAAACCTCTTATAGAAAGCCTCTCAGTCAAAGGAGAGGAAATTACCCAGACTACCAGGTTATTCTAATCAGAGATTTCTTATCAGAGCGTCTCCAGTCTAACAGGGAAAATCCAATCTATAGCCGGCTGAACACTAAATTAGATCTAATCAGGACCTGCTTTCCAACTGTTCACCAGCAGGTCAAAACCAATGATGGCTATTCAAGCCCGAGGTGATAGTTCTTCCTGGAAAGCAGCCTGCTTGAGCTGTGTCAACTCCTCGTCTGGACAGAGGGAGAGGCTTTGTCATTACCCCCAGCCAGTCAATTCCACCTGCTCAAACTAGTGCCGTTCACCTGGAGCTGCCTTCCTAGCCCAGACAGAGTCCTGCTGTTTTAGGAACTTTCTAGTGTCTCTCTGGAGTGGGAACACATTTCCTTTCTTTAGAAATATGCCCTTATAGAACCTTCGATGATACTGTTCATTGTGGTAGGCACTCTGATGCACATATGATGTCTCCTTAGTGTGTATAAGGACATTTTCCTTCCATACACAAACACACAAATGAGAAAAGGACATCCACACCAGCCTGGCAGGAGGCAACACCCTCAAATCTACCTCCACGTGGCTGCCTTTGTTATTCTTCTTCCAGGGGATTAATGGCTATAGTTAAGCAGCCTTGTGGTAGCAGTTATAACTTACAGTTTCTTTGCCAAGAGCAAAGAATACCATCTGTGAAACTCCCAGCTCCCTGTAGAGCCCTAGCCTGTCATTCTGAAACATAGCCTCAGAGGCTCACGGAGGGCTAAGACCTCTGTGTAAGAATATGCCCACACAGAGATGCATGGAACCAAACAGACACAGAGAAACCAAACAGACAGGGAGATGCAAAGGAAGAGAGATTTTCCTCTCTCTGCCTTTTATTTAGCTTTGCCAAATAAGTCTGACTATTGCTATGATGGATCTGCTGCCCAGAAACTTGCTGGGCATCTCATCCCAGCATGATTCACATTACTGTGTCATCCTAGAAGAATCTGTTCAGGGCTGAGTCTTAAAGGACGTGAGAAGGGTAGAGAGTAAAGATGGGAGGGCTGGAGGAAAAGTCCTAGTTTTTCAAGAAGAGTAGTGGGTGTCAACCGCATAGGGTGTGTGGCCCACTTCCTTCCCTCCCTCTTTGTTCCTGCATCTCCCACCCAAGATTCAGCTGGACTCCAGGCCCTGCAGACTCACACTGGGTTCTTCTTAATTGTGCATGAGAGTTAGAGAGGCCTCTTGTTTACTGCTGTGACTTGAATGTTAACTTTAAAATAGGAAGACAGCCCCGTCTGTGCTCAGATGCACACCTCTGCAAACATCTCCTAAATCACGAGATCACGGAGGTGCTACTCAACTTTCCACATCTATTTTGCTGTGTGATGGAGGGCGAGTCATTAGCTCTCTGAGACCTGCTCTAGTGGGGCCTTGATTCACGAACTTAATTCTTTTTTGCAATCAGAATTGTGGAAAGGATTAAGTTTGTGAGTCAAGGTACCACTGCATTCTCCACTGCTCACAGGATACTCAAGATCAATTTCTGATGCCAATAGGGAACTGTGATGGTCACAGAGGAGACATGCACATGTATGCACACATGTGCATGTACACATGTGCACATCCGCACACACACACACACGCACATATATACACACACACACAGTCCCACAACCACAGCACATCTACATTACCTAGTCACACACCAGCAGTGATTCTCCCCTCATATAAAATCTTAAAATATGGTATAAGCTAAGTTCTTTTCTTCCCATCTCCACATCAGAGTTCAGTTATCTTCAAACATTTAAGCTTGAAATGTCCAGAATGAAATAAATGCAAATAAATAATCTCAGTGTTTAAACTTTGAAGCAACAAATCTTCCTGTAAATTAAGCAAACACTTCCCCTCTCGGCCATATCTTGCCCAGATAGAGTTGCACCTGCGACTGATTATGCTCTTCTCTATAATCATTTCACCCCACCTCAATTTTTCTTCAAGGTCAGATTCCTAGCGGGAGCTCTGTTTTGGTGTTCATGTTAGAATTTAGCCTGTGAAGGTCTTAGTTCCCTAAATCTTAGCACACCTCTGCAAGATACTTCCCCTTGAAGGGTTCCACTTTTCCTCAACCCATGGTTAGTGATTCATGCCTGGGCCAGAGTTCTAAACTGTACCATGCAGGCATGTGCACATTGACCTCTGCCTCCCTCTGTCAATTCTCCAGTTCTCCACTCACTTAAAAGGGGCAAATGAGGGGAGAGACAGATAGCTCAGAAGTTTTTGCTTCCTTATGGTGCGCATGAAGTCAAAGAAGAACTCTCTAGAGCTTAGACGCATATTTTCACGTAAGAGCCTTCAAACAGTCCCAGAGATGCAAACAGTGACAAGGTGCCTACTCACAGCAGCTGCAGGGACACCAGCCCATCAAACAGTCCCTTGGCAATCTCGGTGATCTTGTTCCCATAGAGAACTCTGGAAGAGAGCAGATGACAGTAGTCACCATGATGTGAGGTCACCAGAACCCACTCATGGAAGAGGTCATCACCTCTGTCAGTACTGGGTGCACGATCTCGGGCCACCTCCTTCCTTGGCCTGCCTCATCCTTTCTCCTCATCGTGAGACAGAGTCAGGCAAGGGCAGCCCAGGGCTGGAGGGGCAGGCTGTCCCAGAGGAGAGAGAGATGGGCTCCATCCTGCTTCACTCCTGGGCAGCCCGGCCCAATACATCATCCACAACAGGAAGCAGCACCCCCTTTGCGGTGCCTCCCTGAGCTGCAAACATGACTCACACCCCAGCAATAAATAAGCATGTGGGAGGCCGGCCAGCTCTGTCCCCTCCTGAGCCCAGCCTATAGAATGTTTCTTTTTAATATCCCATTGCATCCTAGGAATTCCTGAGCTTAGCCCTTTAGTCATCCATCTAGACATGGCTGTAGGTACACAGGGGCCTCTGCAGATGGCTTGGGATTGCTGAGTCAAAGACTGGCTTGCAGGAACAGATAAGAAGCTTCTATTTCCATCCTTTCTTCTCATGCTTTGAAATCCAGGAAGCTAAGAACTCAGAATCTCCTTGTCCTTCTCTCTGGTTTAATTCTACATTGTCCCTCACAACTGGTATGCTATTCACAGGTATCATCTTCCATGACATGTAAAGCCTGGGAAAGGAATCTACTGGCTTTGCCCCTCCGGCCTAGAGTCCAGTGGCTCTCTGGACCTGGACCTTGCTGACCCTCCGCATAGCAACAAAGAAGCCCTTCTGGCCTTTCTGCTTCCCTCCAAAGTGGACCTTGCTGTCTTGTGCGTCCAGCCTTCGCTCCAATCAAGGAACTGGGCTAAAGAAGGTTTGGTTAGTTTGTTTTTGTTAAAATCCCTGCTAGGGGCCCTAAAATGTACGGAATGAATGCACTATTTAATTCCCCCTTGGATCACAAATCCTGGCTGTGACAGTCATTTGAGGAGGCAAAATATTAGGATGAGGAAATGGTAAATGGGAGCGATAAACCAAATCCCCCATTTCCAGCCACCATCGGGAGTGAAGAGTGAGCATCTCCCGGAGCCTGCGGGTGTGTTTCATTAACGTTTCAACAAATTAATGACTAAATAGAAGTCAGCATGATGGCTCGGGCTCACATTTGTAATTCATATTAATGTCCCACTGTTCACTGTGCCAAATGTAGTAATGCCACTGTCTGCTCATCTCAGTGGATGTCACAATTCCGAGTGTAGCAGAAGCGGGTGAGCTGGTGGGGCTGGGAGGCTTGGGGCAGGGGGTCCTCACTCCACCAGTCACATCTCCCGAAGGGACATCTCCAAGCATACTGGATCACCTCACGTGCCTGGGCACCCATCTCAGCGACACCTGTGTGTGACTCTACCTGACTCTTACCCCAGAGCCTGGATTAACTATCTTCCTGCCTTTCAGGCCACAGCCCCAACATCTCTCCCTTGGAAGGCTTCTAGATATTTCTATGAATTTTTTCACCACCTGTTACTCTATTATTATTTCCTCAAAGCATTCATTTAAATCTTACTTTTATACTTATTTACTTTTAACTTCTATGTCACCCCAACGGCTCCTTGAATCTAGGTTCCATGAATATGGTGACAATATGGGATTTGCGCATGGCTGGGTCCCTTAAATCAAGGACAGAACATGTTTAGCACAATAAACATCTGTTGAATGAATGAATGAATAAATAAATGAATGAACAGAAGTAGGGGAAGGCTCCCCAGCTCTTTAACTTGGCCACTTCTGAGCTGGGGCTGGATGGGTTTACAGTCAGCTCTCAGTTCCATGGGGCGTGAGTCTTGTCTTTCTTGTTCCCTGCTACATTCTTGGCATACTGTCTCCACTGCTCGGTACCGAGTAGGCATCTCCTGAAGTGATGGGTGAGTGAATGGTGGTGAGAGGCAGTTCCTCTAAACAATTCTCAGTATCTGTTTGAGAACTGGTTGGTGGCATGGCAAATTCATGTTCAGCAACTACATTTTGAATTTCTTTTCCTGCAAGACAGAAAGCATCCCACTGTCCCTACGCTGTCCCTAAATCGCAGCTGAGGAGAAGCAGACAAAGGGAATGGGAATGGGAAGGCGTGGAAGGGTAGAGATAGGATACAGTGGCAGACAGCCGCTCTCTCCCTTTCCGTTTGTGATCTTCGGCACAATAAGCAGACACTAATCTTACACACAGTCCTGTCTTTGATATCCCAGCCAGATGTTCTTTTCGATAAATGAAACCAATTTTCTCTGCAGGCATCAGACAACAACTGAATCAGAGACTTCCCTGTCCTCAGCCCCTGCCCAATGGATGGGGCCAGGTAGCCGGGCGAGGGTTGCGCCTCTTGTTACCTGCTCTTTCACACATTAGGCAAACAGGTTGCATAGGGAAGCATAACACGGACAGCCTGCCTCTGAGCATCTTCCTTGCTGCCTCAAAGCCTGCATGAGGGGAACAGGCCACCAGGTGATTTAAATAATATCAGTCAATGAAGACTTTACTGCGTCTTACTTTTGACTTTCCACATTATATAGAGTTTCCAAAGCATGGAGATTAAGAGCACAGGTTCTGGAGCCAGACAGTTTGGATCCATGTTCTGCCTCTCCTACTTATTCCTGGAGACTTTGGATAGGCTGCATTTACTTGCTCTAACATAGATTTTAAAATGATCACATGCTAGGTACAGTTCAAGGTACCAGGAATACAATCAGGCACAAAACAGAAAAAGAGTGTTGGTCACTCCATTTCTTTATCTGTCGATCAGTTAGCAGATTGTGTAGTTTAGGTTGTTGTGCAAATTTCACCCATTAAGACTCCAAGAACATAGCTGGGTGTGGTACCACATGCCTGTAATCCCAGCACTCTTAGAGGCTTAGACAGGAAGACCACAAGCTCAAGTCCAACCTGGGCATCTTTGCAATTTAGTGAGGTCTTGTCTCAAAATAAAAAATTTTAAAAAGGGATGGGGATGTAGCTCAGTCCAAAGGCCCTGGGTTCAATCCCCCATATTGAAGCATAAGACAAAACAAAACAAAACAAAACAAAACACAACATAAGCCTTCTAGAACAGTACACAGTGGTATACAGTCAGTGCTCAATAAGTGCTACTGACTATTGCTATTACTGTAAGCATGATCACTAAATGTGTTAGGTGGGGAAGATACCACTGTCCCTGTTTTTCTGCACAGACATAGAATGCTCAGGTGACTTTGTTATGCCCCCGTGTGAGCCACCCAGGAAATCAGAACACACCGTATGCCTTCCTACCCCAGGTGGCTCCAGTGTTTGAAAGTCAAAGAATGGAAGGGAATAGGATGGGGTATATATCTTCTCAGAACATGGGCCATGAGGTTGGTCAGGAGAAAAGGCCTACAAATTAGCAGAGGAAAATAAGCCCTTCTTTTGGCAAGGACGCATACGTGGCTGGGAAGCAAGGGACTCTCAGTGATAGATGCACATTACCATTCTGGCCTCTGTCCTCCCTAGAGACAGCACAGCTGCGGTGTACAGGGGAGGGAGCAAGGACAGGGGCGAAGATGCATTCGAATTAGAAACCAATAACTGGGAAAGCTGCTGGGCACTTAATCAATAAAAATAACGCAGTTGAGTTGTAGAAATATTCCCCAAGATCAATGTCCCCTGAAGAAATATTTATTTCTTTCACCAGGTTGCCACAAGTGTGTTAGGGAACAGAAAGTCTGCGAAACCCCTTCTGGAATAGATAGATGCCCGCCCCACTCCAACCCAGGCCCCACTTACAGCGATGTGAGAGACTTCAGGCCCTGGAAGGCATCTGGAGCTATGTCCGATATCTGATTCTTGCTGATGTCTCTGCAAACATTAACAGGAGAGTCTGAGAATGTAGTCTGAAGGTGATAATAACCATCCCCAAGTGCAAATTGAGCAATTCAGGCATTCAAAATGGTGAGGATTAATTGATCAATTGTGCGATTCTTTTATTCATAGCACAAGAGAAGGCATCTATACCATTCATTTCCACTGCCTGGTGACAGAAGACATTAACTTTGTACCCTTCTGCCTGGGTTTTAATGGACTCTCTTCCACTGTTCCTGGGCTCTGGTACAGGTGGGCCTCACTTTGTAGGTCCAAACCCGTATCTAGGTCTTGGTATCAATCAGTTAATGACACAGATCAAACAGGAACCAGACTCCTAGGCCAGGCTTCCTTTAAGCAGCGCCTTTTTGACTTATGCCTCCCCAAGTGCTTATTCATCTCCCTGAAAGATCTGAATCAGTGACTCCCCAGTGAATTTCCTTCCTGACCTAAAAGGAGCTTTGGGGCAAGGACATAAACCTCTGTCTGGCTCGATATATCCCCTCGGATGTGTGATGGAAACACATCACGGGATTCTCAAGGGACACTTTGAGATACGGGTTTGTCACTGGCTGCCCACATTCCTCACTTGGGAGCAAACCCAGTGAGGTGACAATGTCTGGGGTTTCAGATAATGTGTCTGAGATGGTGTCATGTGACAGAAGGACCACGGGCTACAAGGTGCCTAACCCGGTTTTATAGGTGCAGAGCAACCTCCCGACCCAGCTCCTTCACAGAGGCCCTGGACTGCCCATTTTCAGCACCCAGGCCTCTCTGAGAACTGGCCACTGGTTCTTACTAATGGCCGTTCGTTCTGTGAGGGAGATTCTCTCCCTCAGAGTCATTAGTTCAGGGCTGGCCTTTGGGTTTCCATCACTCCAAGGAGAGACGCTCCAATTTCCTGTGACAACAAACCTCTCCAGTTCTTTTTCTTTAACAAAATAAATCAATGTCTCCTTGCTTTTGTGCAGCAGAGGGAGAGCTGGGGTCCTTGCAGGTCAACAAGGAGGAGACAGTGGATACTGAGAAGAGAGAAAAACTGAGCAAGCTGTAAGCAGTTGCCTCCAGCGAGGCCAGACGCCCAGCCTCTGAGGCACACACAAAGGACAGTGTGCTCGAGACCGTTCCCTCCTTCATCTGGCTGCCTTGGCAAGGGCCTTGCTACCACCTTGGGGCTGGACCTCTGCTCCCTTCCCCCACCGTTCCCAAAGCCTGTAAGTTGAAAGATATTTCACAGGTTAGGGCCTCTTCTGCACAGCTGTCTAGTTTATCCCTTTAGCTGGCGAGATCGCCTCAACAAATCCACAGATTGAGCTTGCAAACTCGTCAGCTTACACTGGGCTTTTCTTCAGCGCTCTGTTTTTGTATAAGGGTCTTAACAAGCAAATACCCCGGATTATCCTAATCTCGCTCGCCCTCTGTGTGGCTGCCTAGCAAAGCATCGTAGGCAAGCAAGCAGGGTTTGCTCAGATCGCACTAGGGAGAGGGCCTGTTTTGACTCTTTTCCCCGGTCACTGGTTGTTCCTTGAAGGTGCTCAGACCTCTAGCAGGCAAGTGGAACCCCTGCAGCCAGCGAGGAAGCCCTCTGTCTCTGATCTGTGAGGGCAACTGAGTTTTCAGGACACAATTAGACTTGTGGCCTCAGCCTTCCTGATAGCATGAGGTGGGAAGTCTGAGGGTTTTGGAGATGCTGGAGCCCGGGAATTGAAGTGATAGTTTAGCTGGGAATTGACCCTGCTGGTTACCTTTTCTACCCAATTTTGCAAATTATGTGTATACACATCTATCTATCCATCATCTATCTATGGTTATAACATGATGTTCTGAAATGCGTATTCACTGCGGACTGGCCAAATCAGGCTATTTTACTTACGCGTTACTGCACATGTTCATCATTGGCTTGTTGGGAGGCCATTTAAAATGGACTCTCAGCAATTTCCAGTATACGATCTCTTGCTGTTAACAATAGTCACCATGTCATACAACAGCTCTCTTAAATTTCTTCCTCCTGCCTAACTGAAATTTTGTATTCTTTGGCCAACATCTCCCCAGTTCGCCGTAGCTCTCACCCCTCCCAGAGACTCTGGGACCTACCATCCTACTCTGTTTCTACAAGGTGGCCTTTTAGAGACCTCATGTGTAAGTGAAATCATGTGGAATGCTTTGTCTTAATTCTTAATTCTGCAAGAGGGAGACAGCATCCCTGAGAAGTCAAGGACCTGGAGCCACAGGTGACTGGACATAGTCATTTGGGTCCAGAGTGGGCATCTTAAGTCTCCGGGTCCCAAGCTCAAGGCTGTTGTTGTTCCACTATAAGGGATGCAGTGCACAGTGGTATGGGACAGGAAGGCAGATTGCGGACAGCTTCAGCTGACCACGGACCTCTACACTATCCCCTGCCCTGTCTGCCAAGAGGTAGTCCTGGAATTGACTTTGTACATTGTGGTCACTCTTGACCAATGGCTCTCAAACCTCTGTAGGGTGTTCTACAACACAACCCCAGAAAGTTCTGTCTTAGTAGACTGGGGCTTAAGGGATAGAAATCTGCATATTTGACAAATCTACAGGACATCCCTACACACAGGGTCCATGGGTCTTACTTTAGGCTACAGTGGTTTGTTTATTTATGTGTTTATCTATTTATTTAGTCTTTTTGAGACAGGGTCTTGCTATGCAGCTCAGGTTGGCCTTGAGCTCACTTTGTAGCCCAGGCTGGTTTCAAACTCCCAGTGATCCTCCTGCTTTAGCCTCCTGAGTGCTGGGATTACACGTGTGCGCCACCACACTCGGCCTGCTACAGTGGTTTAGAGTCAGATCAGTCTCAGACCGACCTCAGTCCCCTGAAGTTGTACACTGGGTGACCAAGAGCAGTGGTTTTTAGAGACTGACGAGGCAAGTTCAACTGCATTCAAGTGTTAAATGGGAATGTAAGGATGAGACACTAGGCGGTCCTGGAGCTGAGGAAGACCATTCTACCTAAAAGCAGTGAACAGAACTCTCTACACCATCTGGCTAAACAACTTGCGTTTGGCCTCAAGGTGTCAAGGCTATCAGGAAACCTGCTCTATAAAACCAGGCAGCAGAGTGATCTCCAGCATTTTCTATTCTCCCTCCAAGTGGCTTTTCTACCTTGATAGCAGTTTTTTCAAAAAAATTCTGGGAGTGATTATGTATGCATGCATACATGCATTCATGTATGTATGTGGGTGTGTATGTATGTACAACATGGTGTGAGATTCAATCCAGGGCCTCACACATGTTAACCAAAAAGATCTATTGTTAAACCATACCCCCAGGCTTTTTAACAAATTTTGTTTTAAGATAAGGTCTTGCTAAATTGCCCAAGCTGGCCTTGGACTTGGGATCCTTCTGCCTCAGCCTGCTGAACAGCTGGGTCACAGGCATGGACCATCAAGCCCAGCTACTGCAATGTTTTTGAATATTAAGGTGACCATTAGAATTAGGTAAGAACACAGTGTATTCATGGATAATTCATTTTTTTAGAAAAGAGGTAAGAACAGGATGTCGTTTAGTCACAGCTGGGGGAAAAATTTCTTTAGTCAAATACTGGGAATAAACCAATCATAGATACCTAAGAGAAATTCACACTTAAGAGTTTGAAATCCATTATTACCTAGGACTCTACTTCTCCCAAGCCATTAAACTTCTATCTGGATTTCTGAAGTTCTATTAGTCAAAAAAACTTTTAAGTGGGCTCTTTTCCCAACTGCCATCCCCTTGGGGGAAGAAAGGGCATCATAATAAATATTGGCAGCATCAGAAGTAATCAAAAATTAAATTCTCTTTCCAGGTCATGGCAGAGAAGGTCTTATGAATTTTGAATGCACCAATCGTGGCAATTCCTATAGGATGGAAAAAGGATGGTAAAACACAGCCAAGCTCTAAATTACCTGGACTTCACAAAAGATTAGAGCAGTAACTTAAATCATGCAAGAGATATAGGTTGGGCCAGTGACTGAACTTGTCATTTTTCACTGAAATTACTAAATGGCTGCATAATCAAGCTGGGCTTTAAAAATGAATGGGGGCGCTGCACAGAGCCTGAGCTGGGGAAGCAGGGACACCAGGAGATTAATGACCTGAGGTTTTAAATATTAAGGCCTGTATTTATACAGCTCCTCCAGCAGGAATGCCGCCAAGCGGAGGGAAGAAGTCCGCACTTAGAGCTGCCTCATTATGGTGGTTTCCCCTTCTGGAACCGCACCAGGAGAAAGTCTTGTTTGCGTTGGATTCCCGGGGAGATGGGAAGGTGGCTTCCTGAAGTCTGAGGGTAAAGCCTACTAATGCCGCTGTTTCACAGGGATGTTTACTTTTAACATAAAAGGAATCAGCAGACCTTGTTAATGGAGGCCCTTCCCACTCAAGGGAAACCAGTGAATCAGCCTGGAGTGGAAGGAAGACGCATGGTCAGATCCACGCATACACCTGCCCTCTCTCTTTCTGCTGTGGGCAGGTGTGGGAGGGCACTTGGAGGAAGCAGAAGGAATTGAAAACAGCATCTCCATTCCTGGGTTAGAGAAATGGTTTCCCCGCCTATAAAAAGGGGAAGGGATCTCCCTCCAGAATCTTTATAACTACTATTGCAATGGTTGGGCCATTTCTGAATCCTACTTGTTCCCCTTCAGAGTGTCCAGTGCTGAGTGACTCACAGAGCACTGCTCAAGGTTGCCATGTGCCAGGGATGGACGATGACACCATCGCCATGGAGGTGCTAAGGGTGATGATGCAATGGTGTTGTCACAGGCTGTGGTGAGGGGTTACAGCAGGCTCGTGTGACCAGGGGTTGAGGTGATGTAATGGTGGGTGTGATATGGGCTGCAGTGGCCATAGGACATTGGGTTTGACCAAGGACTAGTCATATGACCACAAATGAGCCAGTCAGATGACTGCTTATTAGCTAAATCCTCCAAGGCTTCTTCTTTCTCTTAGAAAGAACAGGAAGGCCTAAGGGCTCCTGTGATCTAAGCCCTACCTACCCCTCCAACACCATTTCCCCCTCTTTCCTCCCTCATTCCATGCCTCCTTGCTGTTCCACAGACCACCACGCACATGTCCCAGGCCTTTCACTTGCTCTTCCCACTGTCTGGGCCAGTATCTCCAAGAGCTCTTGCTCATCTCCCGCTTTATTTAGGCCACCTGCACATGGAAGCCTTCAGGGGAAAGCCGCCTGCCAGTGTTCTGTCTCCTTCCAATTTTTGGTTTATTTTGTAGTACATATCAATTTTAGATATTTATTGCCTGTGTGCCTATGTTCTCCTACTTGAATAAAAGCTCCATGAGTGCAGGACTTGTTTCTGCTCCCTGCTCTCTGTAGATTATGGCGTAGACAATAGTCACTGAGTATTATGACCTGAATTACATGAGTGGAGGGATGTTGGTGGTGATCATACAGACGGCTGTGGGGCACTCACAGGGGGCTTTTAAACTCCCCTTTAGGTCTATGTCTCTATAGCCATAGACATTAAACACGGCAATATGGATTTTGGGGGGATCCAAAATATCCAAATATCTGTCCTCCCACACAGATAGTTTTACTTTGCTGTGGAGTGGACACACCTAGCTGTACATATCTAAGCTCATGTGCCTCACAAGCTGTGTACAATACGTCTGAGCCTTTCCTGCCAATGTTAGGACTTTATCTTGGATCTAAAAATGGATGTGATCCATCAACTGGAAAGGCTACTTATTACACATTGCAGATACGTACCCTCCCCAGCATACACACATACCACCGCCACCAGCACCACCATGAAAACACTTGGGCTCAGTTGTTCCCGGGGGAACTCACATTCGCTTCAGTTTCTTGTACGGGGTGAAGGCTCCCGCGGGGATGGATTTGATGGAGTTCTGTTCTAGGCGTCTGAGGGAAACAGAACAGAGAAGAGTCAGTCAGCCATTCATCAACAAGTGGTTGCTGAGGGCCACTGTGTTCTCTGGCCTGGAGGATGGGCTGGCGTCTCTGATCAGAAGGCAGACATTCTGGTGGAAGGAGACAGAGACTATGCTGTGACAGCCAGTGAGGTGTTTCTGGAATGCAGGGAACAGTCCCAGGGTCCAAGAATCTTTGGAGAAATCTAAAAAGGATGGTTTCTCCTTGAGGGTTCTCAATTCTTGCTTATTACCAGCTGCCTCTAGAGAAAGCTGTAAGAAGGAGCCTGCCAGAGTGCTGAAAAATCAAAGGGAAAAAAGGAAAAATAAAGAGATGGACCATGGCCAGCAATGCTTATTTGTCATGAAATCATGTCACTATTCAGTGAAAATTTCAACCGCACAGCTAATGGAAAGAAATTTCAACAGCTGACTTCGTTTCTGGGATTTTCAATTGGCTGCTTTAATATGGTAGACAAGTAATCAGAAAGTCTTTAGGCTCCCAGCCTGCCATTCATCACACTGGTTCTCTGACAACCTGAGGCCCTAGGAGCCCAGGCAAGACCGCTGTCCTGGGATGCTGCTGGAATCTGTGGCTTCAACTTCACACAGACTTCTTGACATGCTTCCGCTCTTATTGCTCTGGAAAGAGAAAGAGATGCTGCAGGCCCAGGGCCCAGGACCAGGAAGAGAAGAGGCCATGGGGAGTAAGTTAGCGTTTCCATTCTTTACGCTTTGATCTCTCAAATGACTTCCTATCACCAGAACAGGTGTAGTGGGAAACAGGCATGAGCGGGAGGCGGGGTGCTCTATTACAGATGATGAATGACACCCTGGTCCAGGCTGAGGACTGAGCATCACATCCCCATCCATCTCTCTTCTCCCTGAGGTGCAGATCTTTTCATCACTTCCTCATTTGGAAATGATATTCCCCAAACCCTCAGCTGGGAAGACTTAAGAAAAGGTGTGAGTGGAGCGGGGAAAGTGGAGGAGGCAAAAGGGAGAGAGAGGGGAGGAATGGGCTTCCTTGGAGGCTATGTCTAGAGGATGCACATTTCTGGCTGGGCTGAACCCATTCATCTTGAAGAGTAATCCCCGCTGCAGAGTGGGGGAGACAGTTGTATTAATTTGTGCCTCTGCGATCTCATCTTCATTGGGGGAACAGAGTATTTGTTACTGGAACTGCTAATGGAGCAGTTTGCCAGCAATTTTCCCATTTCAAACAACATCTCAGCTGCTAATGTGGAATGGTTTGTCAGGCCTACCCATAATACAGACAAATCACTCTCCAGGAAAAAGGAAGGGGGAAAGGTGGGGGGAGGAAGGGAAGGGCGGGTGCGAGGAGAGAGGGAGCATCAGGACAGATCATTCTTGGCTGCTGGATGAATGGAGTCTACAAATGAGACTGCCATGGTCTATTAACAATGTCTTTGTGCCCTGCTGGAGGGGGACAGGAAGGGTTCTTTGCTGGGACTTCAGCTACAGGCAGGCTGGACAGGGGTCTGGCTGGCTGATGGGCTCATGATAAGCCACCAAAGCTTGCCACAGGGTTTCAGGGACTGTGGGCTACTGGCTACAGCCACCCACAGAGGAGCCTGCCTTGACCGAAGTTCCAAGGACATTCTCATTTTCCAGTTGAGCACAGAGTTCAGCAGGAATTTCTCAGCCAAGACAGCAGCTCTATGGATCTCTGGGGCTGCCGGTCAGGTGGCACGTGCTCTGCAGGAATCCTGTGATTCACCTGCCACTTTGGCAAGGGGTTTGGGCTGGCTGGTGCCCCTGGGGAGAACCCCTGTCTGTAATGATGGCAGCCCCCGTGGCTTTTGCAGGAGGATCTACTACTCCATGGATATGGAGGGAGAACTATATACATATAATATGTAAGAACGGAGGACAATGGCATTGCCTTTGGACAAAGAACAAAGAATTCCTAGCTCAGCCTGTTAACCCTGGGTAGAGACCTTGTCCCATATTGCCAGCTCCTCACGCTTGCTCACTCTAGGGATCTGGGCATAGGTATCGCCTTCAGTCTCCCAGCTTCCCACGTGTTTGGATACTGGCTGAACATCCTTCCCTTAGTGGAGCCTCAAGGCCATGATGATGGGAGTTAACCTTGCCCTAGGAGGCATCAGGGATTTGTCCAAGGTGTGCAGATGGCGGTAGCTGTGACTAGTCTGTGCACCTTAGAGATACAGTAGAGAGAGGCAAGGGCAAGGATACCAACAGCAATACAAGGTAATGTGTTTCAGGTGCTTAGATCAAGCCACCAGGCACTGTAGTGAGTCTTATATGGTATGTCTAACTTAATAGTGATACCCCTTATTAGTTATCATCATCTCCATTTTAAATATGAGAAAACTGGGGCTCAGAGAGGCAAAGCCACTTGTCCAAATTCACAAAGCCAGGAGGAGCTACAGCTGGGACTCCCACCGAGTTCTTCTGATTCCAAAGCCGGGACTCTCAACCACTGAGCTTTACGGAGCCTTTGTTGTTTCAGTCCTTGACAGCTCATCTCCTGGGAAAATGATGCCTCTGTCAAGGAGAAGACCTAGAGTGTGCGCATACGTGTGCGGTGTGTACACAGAGTCCCGACGCAGCGGGACCCCTTGGTAGGTTAAATACACTGCCCAGTCCTGCAGCCTGGAATACGGAGGCAACAATCTAGCCTTCCTTTGGTAGGAAAAAAAGCAACTTCAGTGTAAAGAACAAAAGGAAGCTTTAGCATTCTCCAAAACTGTCACATTTTGGGATGTGTCTGAAGCCAACAGCTGTTTTAGGTCTCTTAACTGGCACACGTGTCTCCCTTTGTCTGGCAAACATTCTTCAGGCTGCAAACTGATTTAATAAGAGTAGCATAAAAACAAACACACAAATCAAACATCTGAGCATCTTTCTGTACCAGCAGAAACAATAGAAACATCTGATGGGGTTTTCAGCCATTCATGCTCTGTATTGATTCACCCTTGTTCCTTGGGTGCTTTCTTAATGATCTGTCGTTTGCAAACATGTGACTGAACACAATATCTTCCTAGCAGTATATAAACCAACGTGGTGCCAGAGAGGCTGGCAGGGGCCCTGCCTGTGCCAGGGGGAGGGGAGCTGTCTGCAAGTCACCTGTGAAGAGAGGCAGCAGCTGTGTGGCAATTCTGGTGGGGCTAGCAATGGTCATGCTATGACGAACACCTACTGTTTCTTGAGGGTTTTCTGTATGTCAGACACTGTGCTCTGCACACGCTGGCTCACGCTACTCCTGTCCACAATATTATGGAGCAGAAGTATTTTTAAAATACCTATTTTAGGGCCGGGGATGTAGCTCAGTGGCGTAGCACATGCCTGGCAAGCACAAGGTCCTGAGTTTGATTCCTGGTATCAAAAAAGAAAAAAAGCCATTTTATGGGTGAGAAAGTTGTGGTACAAGAGGTCAATTTTGCTCAAGGTCAGTTAGCTAGTGAATGGCTTGCCTGGACTTGAATCTGGCTTGGTCTGATGCAAATAGTTCCTGGGTTCATAACTCCTAGGCTATACTGTGCCTCCCATGAATGGCCCTTCATGGTTTAACTTTTCCTCATCTCCCTTAGTCTTTGACTCAGGAACTCTTGGGGGATGTCCAGATCCTGCTGAAGGGAGGTAATGCCTTGCTTATCCTTCCGCCAAGTCCTCTCAGGCCATTTGGCTGGAGACCAGACAATGACTCAGCCTGAAGGTACAATTCCTGATGCTTCACTACGCCTGGTAGAGAGCTAAAGGAGCAGGTCCTTTTCAAGGTTGTGCTCTGGGCCCAACCTCTGCAGTATCTCACTCTGTTCCCCCTTTCTTTACCATTGTTTCTTTCTTCTTTTTTTTTTGTCTTTTTTGAGACAGGTTCTCATTATGCAGTTCAGGCTGGCCTTGAGCTCACTTTGTAGCCTAGGTTGGTCTCAAACTCACAAGGATCCTCCTGCCTCAGCCTCCCAAGTGCTGGGATTACAGGCGTGCGCCACCACGCCTGGCTACCGTTGTTTCTTGCAGTGAGCCTATACCCCCTCTACTGATGTTTAGTTCACAGCAAAGATGAGGACGGAGGGCCAATCTGATGCAAGCCATCTCTAACTTCTGTCTGCAGAACACCTGGCATCACCACTGGAACACAGAGGTGCAGATGTGGTACCAGATTCACTCCTTTGATCAGATGCATGTGTAGAGATACCTACAGACGACGAACAGCGTGGGCATTTGCGACTAAATCATTCTATCACACTGCATATGCATGTGCTGGCATAGATTTTTGCTTTCTTGACCCCATTTTTGTTTTCAGAAGCCTCCTAACACTGTGCTACCTTTCACAGGCTATGCTCTTCAATTTTCATGGAAAATCTCTAGGTAGATTATGAGGACTCCCGTTTTGCAAAGGGGGAAACCGAGTGAGGTATGAGATGATAAGAAATATACCCAAGGTCAGAGGCAGAAGTAGGACTCAAAAGTTGCAAGACTTGTTGGCCCCAAGGCTGTCGAGAACCACTGTGTTGCCAGACTAGCTTCTCTTCTCCTACCTGCGTCCACCTCACTCATTTCTCTTGCTTCCAAGGGCTTAGGCTCGGAACACTAGCGCTCTCAGCACATTTCAGAGTCACTGGGGTCTATGGTTTCCAGACAGCATTGGCTCTTTGGCTGTTTGCTGGTTTGTCTTTAGTTCTCTCTCCTTTCTCAGCCCTCCCAGTGACTGGTGCAACGGGGGTATCTGCTATTGTTAAGCAGCGGCCTACTCATCTCAGATAAACAATGGGATTGAAGGGCTCTTCAAGTACAGATGGTGCCTCCAGGGCTTTTGAAGGCCCAGGAGGATACCTGAGGACCACAGAACAGAGGAGTGTGTGGGCCTCTTGCTCTTCCTCCAATCTGTCCTGGCTAGGGCCTGGAGCTGGTTCAGGGAAACATCAGGGCACACTGTGGACATTGCCCTTGACAGGAGCTGAGTTTCGAGGAAAATCTACAGTGAACCGTCTCGCCGTAGGT